TGGACGTGGCGGCGCAGCGGGGCGAGTACCTGGAGGAGGTGCGGACACGCGGCGGCGCGGCGCGGCGTGGGGGGGTCACGGCGCGCGGAGAGCCTGCTGGACCGGGCCACGCGTCCGTGCCGCTCTTGCCCGCCGTGGCCAGCAGCCCCTGCTTCTCTTTTCCCCGCAGCTGGACCAGATCTGCATCTCCTTCGACGGCGGCAGGACCACCATGAACTTCATCGAGGCGGCGCTGCTCATCCAGGGCTCCGCCTGCATCTACAGCAAGAAGGTGAGCGCCCGGAGCGAGGCCGGGCCGTGGGGAGCTTCGCCAGGCACGGCAGGGGCCACGCGTGGCCGCCTCCAGCCCCGGCCTCGCTCTGCGGAAGCTGAGTCCGGAGTTCAGCCGCCCGGGAGAAAACCCCTTCCAGGGGCTGCGTTGGTGGAGAAGACGGGCAGCCGCGGGGCCCAGCCCTAAGACCCGTCGCTTTATCCCGGCAGGTGGAATATCTCTACTCGCTGGTCTACCAGGCCCTTGACTTCATCTCCAACAAGAAGTAAGTCAGGGCCTGAGGGGCCTCTCCTGCCGACTGGGCTCAGCGCTGGGGTCTCCCCCGATGCCCATGCAGCCAGCTTGGACGGTGGATCCGTGCCTCGCCGGCGCAGTCCTTTGCCCTCCCAAAGCCTTTTCTGAGCCAGGGCCTTGCAGCGTGGCACGGGGTCAAACCGGTCCCTGCAGCACTCGCTGCCCTTGGCCGGGGGAGAAGCTGCCTCTGGTTTGTGGTTGGCAGCAAAGTGACCTGCCAGGTCCGGGGAAGGAGGCGCTGGCAGAGCTGGGAGCCAGTGCCCCACCGTGTGCTGACGCCCAGCTCCAGGCGTGGGGTCTGCTCCCCTGGAGCTGCTGATCCCCGGGCGATGCAGCGCTGCATGAGGCTCGTGGGCATCCCTGGTTCCCTTTGGGACCCCCTGGCAGGGATCCAGGATCGTGGCCTTGCGTTGCGGCAACGACAGCCCCGTTGGGGGCCCAACGCCCCTCATTGGCAGGACAGGCCTGCTTCGGTGCTGTGCCAGGCGTCTCTGGGAGCTTCCCCCTCGCTATGTGCCCCTGGCTGTCCCCAGCGCTGCCCGAGGTGCTCCCCACGTTGTCTCGGGGCTGGTGGCAGCTGCAGCTCTTACCGAAAGCCCAGAAGGGCGAGGCTCTCACCGCCCTGGTGTGAAACTGGCACCGGGCTCCTGCCCCGCTGCCGACTTCCCCAGTGAAACCTGCTGTGTCAGAGCCGGTGCCTCTACGCCGGGATGGGCCCTTGCTGCACTGTTGGGTTGGGCCCGGTGGTGGCTGGTGCATCGGAGCTGCTGCAGCTGCGTGACGGTGACTGTCACGGAGCCAGACCTGGTCTCTGCTTCCCTCCCTGTCACCTGTTTCCTGGCTCTGAAGCGTCCCGGTGGACCAGCCCATGCTGCAGCCTGATGCCACGGGCCACGGGGGACTGCAGCTAGCTTCTCTTGCATGGAGCTGCCTCCACGGGTGTGCGTCTGGCGCGTTTTGTGGGCACCCAGCACCTCTGCCCCGTCTGCCAGCAGGGAGAGACCCTGGCACAGGCCTGCCTCCAGCGCGGCAGGCTGTGGCTCAGCTACCTCTGGATCCTGCTGCCAGCTGTGCCCCTTGCTGGGGGAAGGCTCGGCGTTGGCTGTCCCTGGAGAAGCCGTGTGCCCATCGGGGGACTCGCCCTCTTCACTTGCCCTCTCTCTCCTGGGCAACTGAGGCCAGGCCTGTCTCTGACACGTTTGCTCATGGGAAGGGCCAGACACGCCTGGTAGCTGCATGCGTTGCCTGCCCTGGAGCTGGGGGAGACGGGCCGTGACGTCCTCAGTGTCGTTGGTTGGGGTCGCACCGATGCCCCAGTCGCAGCCCCAGGGAACTTCTCTGCTGACAGTGACAATTTCAGATGCCTGCACTCTCTTGTTTTCCCTCCTGACCCAGGCGGGACAAGCAGCCTGCGTCCGTGGGAGAGGACGGCCACGATGCTGATGCCACCGTTAGGACCGGGACGGAGGAGGAAGAGGTAGGATGGCCGGCGTGGGGCAGGCGAGCCCTCGCTGCTTCGGGGAGGCATGCAGGGAGGTCCAAGGTTGTCCTAGGCTGTCAGGAGCTTCTTGTGGACTGTCCGGTGCTCTTGGCCGGGTGCAGGAGCTCATTGGGGGCTCGGAGTGGATACCGGCAAACCCGCCCGTCGGCGTCCCAGACGTGCTGTCTCCATCCAGCTCTCCAGACCCTCCGCCGCCGGCCTGCTCAGCGCTCTTGGTTTCTCTCCGCACAGTTCCTCTCGCTGGATGACATTCAGGATGCGTCTGCAGATAATGTGAACATGAGGAAGGACCATCAGCCCAGCGTAAGAGATACCGTCTCCAGCCCCGGCCTCTTGTACCCCCTTCCTGGCAGGGGGTTTTGGGTGGATCCCACCTCAGCTGGGAGCATGGGCAGCTGAGCCCCTCGGGCTGCGCGGTGCACTCCTCGCACAGGGCTGGGGGGAGGGAGCCAGAAACCTTGGTCATTAGCTGTTGAGGGGTGAGGGAGCCTTCAGAGCTCCCGGCTTGGGCCTGTGGTGTCCTGGCAGGACGGAGCGACAGGAGGACACACGGCCTTGTCTTCGCAGACCGTGAACATCGTCCCCTTGACTCCCATGGCCCTGGTGCCTCCGGAGGAAGCTGAGAAGAAGGGCAACCCCCTGTTCAGGTAGAGTTTAGCCTCGTGGTGCCTTTTCATCGCTGCCTTCCTGACGGGCTCGGGGGAGGCACTGGGGTCCCACGTGGTGTGGTGCTGGGTGTCCGCAGGAGCGGGCAGACACGGGGCTGGGTTCCAGGGTGATCCCTCCAGCCCCATGTTCTGTGCCGGCTGGGATGGGACACAGGGTCTGTCCGTGCTGGGTCCTTCCTCCTCTTCCTAACACCCATGCTGTGTGCAAGAACCCCCTGTTCTGCCTGTCCTCAATCGCTGCCGTGCCCCAGCTCCCGGGAACGCGCTGCTGGGAGGGGGGATGGTGCCACATCAGCGGGGGCCCCTCACACGAGTCTTTCCCCCCCTCAGCCGGAAGGGAGAGATCCTGGCCAGCCGGAAGGACTTCCGCATGAACACGTGCACCCCTCACCCCAGCGGCGCCTTCATGCTGGAGCTGGCCGGCCTCTCGCCCATGCAGCACCTCGAGGCGCAGCGCCAGGACGGGAACCGTGGCACAGCGGCAGGTATGCAGCGCGGTTGTAGAGGGGTGGTTGTGACCAGCCCCGGCCCCGCGTGGTTTGTTTTCATCCCTGGCTATTGGCACGTGGTACTTAAACGTAAAGAAATGACGCAGGGAACGTAGCTAGAGGGTTGGATCGCGCTTGGCCGGCTGATCAGCCCCGCAGGGGTTGCGCGTCGGCAGCGAGTGAGAACAGGTGCGCTCCATGTACCTGGGTTCTGCTTTGGGCGACTATAGAAACCAGCCGGTTGTAACGGCTGCGTACGAAACCAGTCACCGGTGACTGGGCAGATCCCCATGCAGGTGCAGCACTGGGATGTATGTCCTTTGCTGTTAGACCTTCCTTCAAACCTCCTTGTCTTCCTGGAAGACGTCGCTTACCCTCTTCCAGGTGCGATGTGCAAGAGGATGGGAACTCCCTGTTTGTTGTATTTTTGGCAGCAGCCCGGTCTCTTCCTAGGGAAGCGGGGCACTCGGGTAGAAGCAGAGGCCTCGTTACACTGAGGAGAAGTGGGATTAAGGGCAAGGGGAGGCCTTGAGGCGTGGTTTTGCCAAAGCCTTAGCAAGACCGTGTCAGGAGCACAGGGCCACTGGCCTGTCCCAGAGTGGGGCCTATCCAAGCGGGGTGCGGGGGAACCGATGGATTTTAAAACAAACTCCTTTGGTTGTCAACGTGTTGTTTTATTGCTACGTAAATGATAACCGCATTTTCTTTTTAAACGTAAACCTTATTTCAGTGAGGTTTGACTTTTAATGCAAAGTAAATTCAGGCCAAACAAGAATGTACTGATTACAATGTCTTGAACGTGGCAACCGTCAATCCTTCTGGATCATGGTGTACGCACGAGGGCCACCCAGACCTTCGATGCATGTGCCTGGGCAGGAATTTTGGGGGGAGTGGAGGCTGCCCAGGCCTGCCATCCCCTCTTTAGGTCATTGAGACAGAATCCGAAGACCAGACTGAGTCCAGATGTTTGGTGCCTCCGTGGCTGTAGTTGTATAAGCGTCTGGGAATCGAACCCGGGTCTCCTGCGTGGTAGACATGGGTTATACCACCGAACCACAGGGGACTCCGACGTCTTTAATATTGAAATAAGAAATGAATGGGCTGAGTCTCCCTTGCAAAACTGAGCCACGGGCTGTGGAATCGAGGAGGGGGAAGGATATGTCTGACCTTCGAGGCTGAGCTTTATAAACACGGCAGTCGGCCCCGCGTGCTGGGTGAGGGCAGTGGGGACGGGGCTGGCCGCACGGTGCAGGTGACCGGGGATGTTGAGTCCCAGAGAAGTGGGGCTGGCAGGGCGCTCCAGAGGTCACTGAGCCCAACCCCCTGCCGAGGCAGGATCAGCCCTGTCCAAACCAGCCCGGACAAATCCATCCTCTAACCTGTTAGTAAAACTACCGTGACTGCTGACACAGCACCAGGCATCGCACTGAACCTGCCCCAGGGAAAGCCGAGGGGGCCGCAGCTGGGACTCTCCAGAGGTCCCAGGCAGAGGCCGTGCCCCCGGCTACAGGGGAAGGCAAAACCCCCTCAATCCATACCGATCTGATCGGGGGGAAATTCCTTCCTGACCCAATGCAGCGTCTGCCGGAGCCTGAGGGGAGGACAGGACCCTCTAGCCAGGACCCTGCAGCTTTAAGTCCCAGTGAGACCATTGGCACAGCTGGTCACATCCCTCCTCTGTCATCCTTCCAGCTGTTTCCAGCTTCCCTGCCCTCAAGCTCAGAGCCCTCTTGTCTGCTTTATGCATTTATTTAAATCCAGTCATCGTCTGAATGCCAGCTGCGAGCAAGCAGTCAGACGAGTCATGACGTGTGGTAGATCCCTCCCCGTTACGGTACTAAAATCGTGCTGTCCTCACTCCCCTGTTTTTCCTTAGCCCCGACAGGACTGCAGCCTGCCGCCCCGGGGGGCGGAGACGGGTCCAGGGAGGTCAGTGTCTGCGAGGCCCCCATCCCGGTCCTGAACTTCTCAGATGATGGAGGTGAGGCGTGCTGCCTGGCAGCTGAGCGTGACCTGGGGCTCCCGTGTCTTGGGGAGGCACCGTGCCGACAGAGGGAGTGCTTGGGGGCTGGTTCTCCAGCACGAAGGCTGATGGTGATGCTGTGATCCTCTAGTCTTCTCCTGTGCTAGAGGAGGGGAGTGGGTGCGCTGAGCCCTGCATCACCGGGATGGATGTGCTTTCTTCTCTTCCCATTCCCAGCCTTTGAAGGTGTCCTGCTTGGAGGGACATAAGCAACTGTCCTCCCCCAGGACAGGCTTCAGGCAGGGCGCGGGAGCTCGCTGGGGCTCTCCTTGCTTGGATGGGGAGGTGTGTTTCCTCCCGAGGAGTTAACCGTGCCTCCCCTACCAGGTGCAGCAGTGCCCGAGTGTGACGCTGATGACGATGGAGGCGGTGATGGTGGCGGTGGTTTCCTTCCTGATGTCCCGGAGGAGGACGTGGAGGCAGCTCCAGCTGTTGTCGAGCACGTTGAGCAGCAGAAGGTAGGGGCCGTGCCAGGGTCCCTGGGCAAGGTGGGGGCTGGGACTCGCTCCTGCTGTATCCCTCACGGCGCTGCTTGTTCTGTCTCCTAGTGCGCTTCCCAGACAAAGGGCTACATGCTGCGGGAGAGGGCCGCTGCCATGGACCACAGCGCACACATAAAGGTAAGAGGTTGTGATGCACCGATAGGGAAAGGACCGGTCCCTGCCAGCACTGGCCCAGTTGGAGGTGAGTGCAGAAGGCACCTATGACTGCCTCCACTGCCCTGCAGATGCCAGGGGCGGCTGCAGCCGAGCACAGACCCTGCAGCCATTGGGGGTGGCCGCGGAGCTGGACGACTGCATCGTTGTTGGTGCCAAGCGGGTGGCAGAGACGGGATCGGGATTAGATGGCCTGGGCGCCTTTTCTCCATGCTTGCCTTCTCTGCACCAGGAGATGCTGGATCCGTGGCGAAGCCTCGACCCTTTTGACAACTCTGAGGACAAGCCCTTTAAAAAAGGTGAGGCGGGGGTAGCAGGGCTGGTGCCCAGCTGCCTCTGGGCTTCAGCATCTGCTTGGCTCTGGCTCCGTCTGGGTCAGCCTGGCCCCGGCCTCGCTCCACGGAAGCCGGAAGTGGAGGCAGCGACTGCCTGGTGCAGCCCTCACCCCTGCCCGTGGCTTATCTCGCCCCCTTCTCCCCCGGCTCCAGGGAGACCCTTCTCAGTGCCGCGTGGCCTGGACGACCAGCCTGGCAGCAAGCGGAAGAGGCGGCTCAGCAAGCTGCAGGACTTTATGAAGTGGTTCACAGCCACCCGTGAGTACCGCGCTCCGGTTCTCCAGCCCCTCGGCCCCCGCGTCTTCCACCAGCCTCCTGGTGACCCAATTTGGCAGCAGCTGCAAGGGGGCTGCGCGATGACGGAGCTGTCCTTCGGCCAGGTCTAACCGCAGCTGTGTTTGACCTTTCTAGAGCACAGCGGAGCTGACAGCAGAAGGACAAGGAGGAAAGGGCCCACGTTTGCTGGTGAGTGGCCTGGGTGTACTTGGCCTCCCCCACTAACATCCCATCCTCCAGCAAACCTCTGCCAAAGCAGCTCTCGTTTCGGGGCGCTGGGGCCCATGCAGCTGCCCGCTGCAGGGGTGCTCTGGCAGGCCTGACTACTACCCGTGGTGCCCACCCTGTGCTGGGGCTCCCCTTCCACCTGGGGTGAGGACGGAGCCCGTGTGGCCTGTGAGACTGCAGCGAGCCCGGGGTGTTTCGTGGGGTCGGTGGGAGCAGCAGGGGCCCTGGTTGGGCCGGGGCTCCGTCTCCCTGCCAAGCTGCTGCTGTGTCTCGTGCAGATCTGGAGCTTATGTATTGGAGGCAGCTGCGGGAGCGGATGAATGTGCAGAGGAAGCTGCAGAGGAGGATGGTAAGGGGGGAGCTGCGTGGGGCAGGGGCGCCAGTCCCCGGCTGCTCTGCTGGGCCTGGGCATGTGGGCAGAGAGGGGAGGCTGCCCTGCAGCCGGGGGCTTTCCCAGGGGAGCTCTCCAGGGGCAGGGCCCAGCGAGCATGAAAGCCGAGCGGCCAGGCTGGTGGTGATGCCCGTGCCTCTCGCCCGCCCGCCTGCCTGCCAGGGGCTGCAGCTGATGCATCCACTGGGAGCATCAGCCCGACGAGCCCGAGGAGGAGCTGCCTGTCGTGGAGGTGGAGCAGGAGGACAACTACCTGGACCATGATGACGGTGAGGCAGGTGTGGTCACACCCAGCGGGGGCTGCTGGGCATGCAGGGAATCGACCCAGCCCTACCCCAGGGCTCTCCCCAGCACCGGGGTTTTGCGAGTGGCCCCGGCCCTGCCAGCACTAGGCTGGGGCACAGTGCTGGCTGTTCGCAGCCGTGCCGCATGGGGCCGAGCTGAGCTGGAGGGGAGGCCCCGGGCTGAAACAAGCCCAGGCTTTCCTGAACCAGCCGCTCTGGACCGGCTTCCCTGCTTCTGCGGAGGGGGCTGGGCCCAGGCAGGCTCTAGGGTCCCGAGTCCTTGCCCTGGGCTGCCGGCTGGCGCCAGGCAGGTACAACGGCTGTGCAAGGGCCCTGACCTGGGTTCTCCCCCCTGCAGACGACTTCCTGGAGCCCGAGAACATCCCGCTGGAGCCCCTCGTGGAGCTGGCCGAGGGTGTGCCAGGTAATGTACCCTCCCCGGTCCCCGCCGCCCTCTTCCTGCAGACCTGGCCGTGGGCACAGCCCGGCTCAGGCTGGGAGGCACTGACAGCACCGGCTGCTGCTAGACGGACCCTGCAGTGGGGGAAGCCTGGAAGAAATAGGCGCAGAACTGCAGCATCCGGGATGCTCCGCTGGAAGGAAGAGGGGCAGGGAGCTGCGTGGGGGCTCGTACGGCCCCCGCTGCTTGAGCGCATGGTGGAGGGTGGGGGAAGGGGAAACTGGCAGTGCCTTAAAGGGGGGAAGCAGTGTCCCTGCTGCACCCAGCGTGCTCGCTACAGCCTGCCCTGTGCCTGCAGGCCCCACGGACATCCCCGAGTCGCTGAGCTACGAGGAGCTGGTGCGGAAGAACGTGGTACGTAGCCTCTTCCCGTGGGGTGGTGGTGGGGGGAGCCAGGCTCCCACCCCAACCTGCCCGTCGCCCCTTCTCCCCCCGCCCATCTTGCCGCTGCAGTCAGTGGCCTGGCGCTCCCTACTCGGGGCCAAGCAGGACAGACTTGCAAGCAGACCTTAGCCCAGCCCCGTGTCCCACCAGCTGCAGCCCCGGGGCTCTGCCTGCCATGGTCAGACCTCAGCACCTGCTAAGCCCCTTCGCATCGGCCCACTTCCAACAGTCCTGGCAAGTGCCCCCAGCACGTCCCCTCGCTCCAAGCCAGGCAGAGGGGCTGGGCTGTGCCCCACCATGCTGATCCCACCTCCTCCCTCCCAGGAGCTGTTCATAGCCAACTCCCAGAAGTACGCGCGGGAGACCGTGCTGTCCCGGCGCATCTGCGACTGGGAGGACAAGATGGGACCACTGCTGCAGGAGCAGGTGAGGCCCTTTCGACACTGTCTCTCACCCCGTTCTCATTAGGAAACGGGGGGACTGTGGCGTAGACACCCACACAGTCCAATGGGTCGCCAACTGGCTAGAGAGCCGCACCCAGAGGGTGGTAGTGGATGGGTCCTTCTCGGCCTGGAAGGACGTGGGCAGTGGGGTCCCGCAGGGCTCGGTCCTCGGGCCCGCCCTGCTCAACATCTTCATCAGTGATTTGGATGAGGGGGTGCAAAGCATCCTGTTCAAATTTGCTGATGACACCAAGATGTGGGGGGATGTGGGCACAATAGAAGGGAGCAACAGGCTACAGTCGGACCTTGACAGGTTACAAGGATGGGCGGAGGAGAACAGGATGGGGTTCAACACAGACAAGTGCAAGGTGATGCACCTGGGGAGGAACAACCGGCACCATACCTACAGACTGGGGAA